CATTCCATTTTCTTGTACAGTATATTGCACAATTTATTCCATCATTATTCTAAATTATAATACATTGCTTGTTTATTTCATATTTCATAGAACTTAATATGCTTTCTTTGCTGTTATCTTCAGTTCTATTCTGTCAATTTATGCAACCATAATACAATGTTTGCTCGTCTACAGTCAAAATATTAATACCGATACACATTATACAGGTTAATGCCAATAAACAGTCTTTATATTAATACCGATATGCAGTCTATATATTAATACCGATGCACAGTAAACAGATTAATAATGATACACAGTCGACATATTAATGCCGATACACAGTCTACAGATTAATACGATACACAGTCGACAGATTAATGCCAATACACAGTCGACAGATTAATACCGATACACAGTCGACAGGTTAATACCGATAGTCTTCAAATTAATACCGACACACAGACTACAAATTAATACCGATACACAGTCTGCTACCGATACACAATAGACAGAGCAATGTCTATGTACAATGATCACAATCGACAGATTAATGTCTATACACAATGATCACAATCGACAGAATGTCTATGCACAATAATCACAATCGACACATTAATGTACACAATGATCACAATCGACAGATTAATGTCTATACACAATGATCACAATCGACAGATAAATAAGTAAAATGTTTTGCTTATATTTTTTCACGAGTTTAAGATTGTATTCTCGATAATGCATTTTCTTCTGCTTTGATAAGTGTTTATGAAAACATCTCGCTTTCTTCTTGAACAAAGGGCGTATATATGGTGCAGTCACTTCTTTTGGTTAAGATCAAAAATTGTATTTATTCGTTTTTACTACATCAGGTTTCAATATTAAGAAATATTTTTATTATAATTTTGCTGACATTATGCAAAACTTCAGGTTTTCTCTGCATGTAAGTAAATATTTACATTTTGTTCAGTTACCATGTCCTAGAGCAATTAAAACAAATGAAGTCAACTCTTTTTTCAAATAAAAAGAGAAATGCTACCCGTGGCATGAGTATTTATTGTTCTTTTGATGTTTAACTGGGTAATTAGAAACACGCATTATCGTTCTAGTCTGCTATCAATAACATTATTTGCTTTTTTATTCCATTTCGTGTCATGACGTACATGTCTTCTCTATCACAAACAACACGTAAGTCGAAAAATGAAAGATAATGTGTGTTGTATTGAATTATAATCGCTCTTTTTTATAATATGTCACAAAAGCAAATCCTGCTGGCACGTTTAGAATGTGATTATTTAGAGAAAAACTTCGTCGATGTCATTTAATTAAATCACGAAAGGATAAAGCAAACAAAGTTTCTTCTTTGAATTAAAATAACCGACGTAAGACTTCGTATGTTGAATAATTTTAACTTAGGTGAAAATTTGTTTCCTTCTCTTGTCGATTAAGCGTTAAAAGGTAACTCAGGTTTATAATGTATATTCTGTGTCGATACAGTCAAAAACATTTCCTGCTGAAATGAGTTGTCATTGGAAACTTAATTTATTACTTCAGTAATGATAAAATTATACGGAAAGAGTATTGCCCTGGTAAGTTTTATTTTGCAGAGAGAAAACGAAACATAGAAGCAAAACACGAAAGAAAGCACATAGTCAGACAAAGTAGTTTTTCATAAGTTTTATTATGATACTGGGAATATTGTGATATTATTATTATTATTATTATTATTATTATTATTATTATTAGTAGTAGTAGTAGTAGTAGTAGTAGTAGTAGTAGTAGTAATAATAATAATAATAATAATAATAATAATAATAATAATAATATTATTATTATTATTATTATTATTATTATTATTATTATTATTATTATTATTATTATTAGTAGTAGTAGTAGTAGTAGTAGTAATAATAATAATAATAATAATAATAATAATAATAATAATAATAATAATAATAATAATAATAATAATAATAATAATAATAATAATTATTATTATTATTATTATTATTATTATTATTATTATTATTATTATTATTATTATTATTATTATTATTATTATCAGGTATTATTGACATATTATTGCAATGCAAGGAATATTGAAATATGATTACGATATAAGGATTTCAGATATTATTACATTACAAAGGAAAAAGAAGAAGCTATTGCAATGTAGAGAAGTCTGAGATAAACTCAATAGTCTTATATAGTAAGGGATATAGTTTATGGAATTGAGTTGAATATAAAACCTGTTTAAATCCATTAAAATCATGGTGCCTTCAAACATGATTTTATAGGTGGTGTAATTATGCAAATGGTGCATATATAGAATTCCAAATTGTTTAATTACATTCCATTTTAATAATAAACATTAATGTTAGTGATTCCCATACTTAGCCTCATCGACAACTGCGATAGATCATTATCAGAATCATTCAGATTCAATACACTAGAGAAAATAAAATTGACTTAAACAAAATCAGCACGTTTTATATAATCATATTGTATGATCAGCGTAGCTGAGTTACACATCAAAAAGATATAGGTACGTTTGAGTAATCCTGACTGTACATACGGCCAGAACACCATATATTCCAGAACTTATACTGACTGATAAATCGTTCTTGTTTAATGTTCCTTTTAGATGATAATTCATCATGATGTAATTGTATGCGTCATGCTTGTACATCTTGCAGTTGTTATGTATATTTTGTATGTCTTCTTTTTTTTAATCATACATATTCTAAGTGATTATGCATACGTGGCAAACATTTCAACAGTTGTCGCGTCGGCACCACAACTGAAACGTCTAGATTGTAACAGTACATTTTTAATGTCAGAAGCAGAGTCAACATTAATTTAGTGTTGTCTAAAGGTAAATAATGAAGAATGGTTTTCAAGAGAAAAGGTAATAGTAAATTTAATATTTGTATAATGTATTGGAGGTTGTATTAATTCAACGCGTATCAATAGTATCGAACTCAACAGGTGTAGACATGCATTGTATCCCAAAGTGATGTGAAAAGAAGTACTGTTTGTTGTATACTAACTGCCTGTGGCTACCGAAGTGGAATTATGGTATGTCATGCAATTTACTGGAGCATATACTAAACATGAGTTTAAAGCTTTATTACAAATGTTTCAAAATGTTTATTTTTTGTTTTTAAAATAAGAAATGAGCCGTTTAAAAGTATAAATATACAAATATCAATAATATAAATATATTTATCGGAACTCAGTATGGCGGTGTTTTAATAAGCATTGAACAAACATTCGGTTATGCTCTGTTCTGAAAAACAATTGCGACTAATTCTCAAAAAGTTTTTTCTCTTATATACAGACAAACAGACTGGTGAAGTGACGTATGCATGCATACATACATACATACATACATACATACATACATACATACATACATACATACATACATACATACATACATACATACATACATACATACATACATACATACATACATACATACATACATACATACATACATATATACATACATACAAACATACAAACATACATACATACAAACATACATACATACATACATACATACATACATACATACATACATACATACATACATACATACATACATACATACATACATACATACATACATACATACATACATACATACATACATACATACATACATACATACATACATACATACATACATACATACATACATACATACATACATACATACATACATACATACATACATACATACATACATACATACCTACGTACGTACGTACGTACGTACGTACGTACATACATACATACATACATACATACATACATACATACATACATACATACATACATACATACATACATACATACATACATACATACATACATACATACGTACGTACGTACGTACGTACGTACGTACGTACGTACGTACGTGCGTGCATGCATGCATACATACATACATACATACATACATACATACATACATACATACATACATACATACATACATACATACATACATACATACATACATACATACATACATACATACATACATACATACACAACATGTAAGGCTTTGATTATCATATAGGCAAGTTTTCGACTTAGTTCATATTGCTGACCTGGCAGATACTCCAGTCAGCCACCAGCCTGTCAATTACTATCCTTCATTCATAAACAAAAACTCACATGAAAAGGTTTAGTATTTCTCAATGTATAATAATTAATCAAATTTTAACTGGCTATATAAAATGCAGATTATTCGTAAAATAAAAAAATAACTAAATCACAGCAACTACGATATGGAATTGTATACAAGCAATTGAAGTGAATATTCACTGAGGACAATAACATGACTGACAGGTTAATTTTGCCTTATTTGGGTCTTTTGAACAGATAATTGACCAATCAATTTAACCCCTGCATAATCTATTCATTGGATTTTCAATGAAAAATGTCATTGTTCAGATGTTAGTGTTGCCACCAAAATAGATTAAATATATCAGTATAGGATTTATCATATGTTTGATATGAGAGACCAGCACAGTCCTACAGGTCTAAAAATATATCCATACAATATTGTTACTTAGGATAAGAAAAGTGGAAAAGGGGTAAGGGCTTAAGTTGTTTTCTTTTTTAATTTGACAACTTTCATTACCAAAGAAAAACTAATTCGTGTCTCAAATAGGTACTTTCGTTTCGAAATTTAAAATCACATCAGATCGTTTATTATCATCACTGAAAGCCAGGATGAGACAAATGTACATATAAGAACAATGAACAAACAGAATGGCCATATAAAATACGGTAAATATAAAAGCTTTCGAACACTAGGTTACCTTTGTTGTCAGAGTTAGTTTCTCTTGTTATTAAACTGGAAAACGTGCCTCCGATTCTTTAAGCTTAAGTCACACTCCGCAATCATCATGATACCTACAATTTAGAATTTGTTACTGCGTTATTGCCAAAATATGATTCTATAATGCTTCTTTTAACAAATGCTTTTGTTTCTAATATCCATATGTACAGGCAAGGGAATAGTAAAGTAAGAAAACGTTCGAACCCTCGTCCTCCCGCATCCGAAGCGGATTCTCTAACCACTAGGCCACATGAGCGGTTTTTGAGTAATGAAAATCAGGTTAAATAATATCTTTCATGCCAAGGATTAGGAACGTATATAACAAAAACATGATGTACGTTTTATGAGTCAAATTTTACACATTTTTTTATTTACTGAATGATAAACATATTTCTCACTACTGAAACTTATAAGTGACTCTTAAGAAAACTGCTATCTAGGTATTAAATGAGAGATCTATACCAGCTTGTGGAATGATCCTATGATAATATGTCGGTGTGATAGAATGATCTTTACGTCAGTGAATTCTATTATCTTTAGCAAAACGTAGTAATTAGGAGCCTTTGAATAGTGATTTATGGTACAGAAGTAAAAGCCAATTTATGATGATTCTAGGTACAGCACCGCGTTTTGCCTGTTCTTTCTCTTAGGTTAAATAATTATTTACGCTTCAAGGGAAATTCATGTGCAAAACTCTTATGAACTCCCTTTTTTATCCGTAGCAGGTAGGCTTAGTGATTATGATGTTGAATTCGTTCAAATGAATGCCCGTTCAACTCCCGTCGCCGGATGAACTAAGATAGGCTACCGTGTTGTCTATTTAAACAAGGCTTGCTGGTTTGCTTATCACTCCAGAATATATCTACCAAATCAGTCAATCATAAATCCTCTATTGAAATATAGAAACTAACTGATTTTATTAAATGTAAAATTTCCAGAAAACTATATATTTACCAATGTTTTGCTTGTTAGCACTTTTGAAAGAGACACTTTCTTGATGTCTTTACCGCATTTAAACACTTTATATATGCATTGTATTTCCGTACGTGTAATGGTGCATTTTCTACTCTCATCCGTTGAAAGAAGATAGAGATTTTAATATTTATTGGAATGTTAGGAAGTGAAGTTTTAGTTTGGATGTAAATTGGTTTCGTATTAACAAGTACACATATTACAAAAGTATCTTAATGAAATTATGAGCTGGCTTGATGAATCGTTTACATGAAACTTCATGCAGAGAAACGCTTCCGTTTCTCAGAATTGGTTATACAAATCCAATAATTTTATAAATAGCTTCTTTGTGTATTTCTAAGGCGTCTGCTTCTATCTTATATGTTACAGGCAAGGAGCCACGATAGTTTTTCACAACTAAGTTATGTCTACTCTGCAGTTTTACAAAATTGTGCAGATAACGTTCCCAATAAATCCGACGTGGTGCCGGAATAGGCTTCAGGTGTCCTTTTGGGCTGGTAAAAGAATACCCCTCGAGATTATGTTTAGTGTTTCACCTCTTAGCTAAACCTGTTGTCCTTCTGGCACACACCTTAATTTTTGGCATGGAATTGGAACTGGTCTCCTTCTCCGTGCTCTTGGCCTGGTTATGGAACTTGTTTAAGATTCCCTTTTGCATATAGTGAGTTATATTCACATCGTGCTATCTTTCCTTTCCTAGGCAGCTCATCTGGTATACATGACGTAAAATGGTACCAAGGAAGTAGTATCCAACCTGCCTTTTTGCCACCTTTATGTCCTTTATACCCGTCCTCGCCTCAATCTTCATAACAGCTTAGGCCACATGTGACCGTTGTCTGTTGTTCACTTATAATTGTGTCCTATGGATGCAGGCATCAAAATACACTTGCCCTGAGTGAGCCATTTCGTGGAAGGTATAGTCTTTTAGTATGTCATGGCGTGCCCAAAAAGATTTCTAAGAAAGGGCAATACGCCAGCCTTTGATATTACTATGTGATTGTAGATATAAATTCAGCGGAGTGTGCTTATACAAACAAACAAATTGTAGCGAGCCATAGCACAATGAATGAATCTATAGTGTGTTTGATTAATACTACACACATACGTACTTGTATTACTGATTGTAACTATATGATATCAACAACAAGCTCTGTATTTATGTTTTTTTCTTTAAAGCAATGCTTGTACAGTCTATATAGCATGATTTTGAATTTGACAAAACAGGAATTATATAGCTGTTTTAACTAATTTCGCTCGGAAGAAATGCTTGTGGTGGTTCGTATACAAATCTGCAGCAGTATCCAGGCCATTGACTCCCAAACTATACTGAAGGAATTTATGGAGGTTTCTAACAACGGCATATACCTGGCCATTTATTGGAATATCAAACATTGAACGTATAAACTGAAATCAATATATTGTTTGAATGCATCACACAGATTTATTAAGGAAGCCCTTAAGATGTTAGATGCATTATCCGAAAAAAATATATAACGTTGCAGAGTTGAGAAATCTTGAGTACCGAGAACAATTTTCAAGAGATATTGACCAAAACAACAAAGCAAAACGCCTCTTGGATATTTACCCGTGTTCCAAGTAATTTGATGTTTTTATATACCAGCATGATATGGACTTCCGTTGTTTCGTTCAAGTCAGTATAACACTGTGACGGGTCATTTGAGCTTGATTGGGCTGGACCTGTGATGGTACTTGATCTCTATGACTTTAAACTTCTTCCTCATCTAGTCAAAAATATGGTCTTTTATCTGACAAAAATCTGTTATGAATCTTTGAAATGCATAAGATTGATGGTGGACTTTATGATGTTTTCTGTCCACCCGTCTTAAATACATTGCAGCGAAGAAGATAATAAAGCGGTCAGCAATGATTTTACAATTAGATAAAATGCTCGCGTGTAGGTTACGGAATCTCCGTAGCATTGGGACGCAACAAATGTAAAGCAGTCTGCCTTGAAATAATACGAGCTTTGTGGCAGAACATTCTATTATGAGTACCGTAAAACACATAAGCAGCTGTTACCTGTTGGTTAAGGTGCATGATCCTTCCTTAAATGTGGTATCGAGTAAAAATTATGATCACCTTTCCTAGCCTTATGGAACCATGAACACTAAAGCGTTCAAAAATAAATCAAAACTATAAACAACTATGGCTGCTCAAGCACCGTACATAAAAAACTCAAACACCCCAAGAAAACAGAAATAAATAAGTAAAGAATGATGTCCCTGATCCTGATAATGTTACCCCCAAAAATAAAGAAATAAAACAAGCCAATTAGAGGGGTGATTCACCCTCACCTTAGTATAAACATGAGTAATGTGGCACAGCTAAAACAGATCAGACGACAGCATGGAATATGCATAACAAGTGGTAAGAGAAAGGCAGACATATCTGAATTATTGACACCCATATTTGTACTGAAAACATCACAACTGCTTGCCACTGCAGCAACAACAACAATGACAACAACTGCAGATAAAACAACGGTACAGTAAATTAGCAATTTGCACATGAACATAATAATAACTGAATGTCAAGAATTGCTAGAAAAAAATGACATCCTTGCGGTATTAGACGAGTGGGAACAAAACCGTCGTCGTCGTCTTGCAGTTTTAACAGCTACTGAAGCGTCTGAGTATTGTCGTATAAAAACAGAGCAATCATAAGTACGAGAAATCAAATTTCAGAAACAGAGTTGCTAATTTAAAATCACGTTGCAATTATCCCACCCACATAAACGCCAGGCAAAGTTCTCGATAACTATTGAAAAATTCAATTACATGAGTGACTAGAACTAATTTGCTTAAACTCATTTGACACCAATCGAATTTTTATCATATTAAGGTTCTCAGCAAATGATTACGAACATGCAAAGAAATTTTAGTCAGCAGTCGAATGCAAAAACCTCGGTGACCATCACGATCTATATTAGCATTGATGTGTTCTTGCTCGCTGATGTGATGAGAAATTACGTGATGCTGCCATGTATGTGTACAAGTTCGATCCTGCATATTACTTCTCGTCATCATTGGGTATGGCTGGAATGCATTGTTGTCCAAGCCGAAATTATCAAGCTGGAAATGCTCACTGACATTGACCAGCATATCTTAACCGAGCGTATCTTTTTCATGGCTTAATATCAATGTCAAGTCATAAAAATACTTGTGCCAACAACAAAATGTGGAAGGATATGACCCGATCAAGTCCGACAATTACATAATGTATCCAGACACAAATGACCTTAATGGTGAGCAATAATGCAACCAATTCCGGTTGGTGAATTTCAGTGAATTTATCCTGCGCACATTGATTTACAAAAAGCACGTGTATAATCATAACATTGACAATGACCTTCTATGAAATTGATTTGGAATATCCTGAGCATTTACATAACGCACACACGATTATCTGCTAGCATCAGAAGTCATAGTGAGGAAGACAAACTTCGAACGCTCATCGACGATCCGGCTTTAGAATTTAAAAAACTCTCTGATGGTAGACTTACTGCTGTTCGCAGTAAAATAAAAAACGCTAACACTGTCAAAACCAGTCTTTGTGGTTCTTTCAAGCTGGACTCGTCGAAGCTGTCCATGGATGAATTTTACTATGACAAAATCAAATTATTTTATTAGGATTGGTCAAGGTGCTGTACATCGACACTGACACGCTGCTTATGAATATTAACAACAATGACGTATACGAGGATATAGTATATCCATTATAGTCAGCGATTTAGATTACAGTGAGCATTCGATAGAACATTCGTCGTTTAGTACCGCTAATAAAATGTGCTTGTAAAGTTCAAAGACGAATATTCGGGCAAACTAATTGAAGGATATGTGACAATACAACCCAAAATATACTTGATTGTGCTTGGACCCAAAAACATTCAAAAGTACAAAGCTGTTCCAAAGGTGATTGTAGAATAAGATCTCAAACATGGTCATAGTGTTATTGCAAACCAACGTAGTACTGATACTGGCTAATATGTCAAATCTGGACAACAATGCACCATAAGTCATCAATAAGTATACAACGATTCGTCAGCGTTTGCTCACCAATGATTGTATGGTCAGAGACACTTATGTGTTCGTGCATGAACTTGATGCAAATATTCGTGTTTTATATATATATATATATATATATATATATATATATATATATATATATATATATATATATATATATATATATATATATCCATGATTAGTTCTAAAACAATTGAAACACTTCGTGTGCGACGTGAAATATGTGCTTCAGTGCAAC